CCGGGCCCGGTGCGTGAGCGCGGCGGGCGGAGGTCGGGCCGGGATGCCCAAGATGGCCGCGCGGAGCGGGTTCACCTTGCGGCGGGGCGGGCGCGCCTGGCGCCGGGCCTGGGGCCGCGATCGGGCCGGCCCTGCTGCCGCACCCCCGCTCTGCCCTGCGCTCCCTTCCCCTGGGGAGGCGCTGCGTTACTGCCCCTGCCTGCGGTTCTGAGCCTGTAGTGCATTTCCAGGCGTTCTCCTCTTAGTCTGTGCATTGGCCTGGCCAGGGTTAGGCTTGCGTGTCCACCTGCCAGCTGAGGTAGGGAGACAGTTAATGCAAGGGGAAGGAGGTGGATTTTCTCTTTTTTAAGCTGTATGTAGTGTCCCTGTAAGCCAGAAGGTCAGAGTGTGTCCAGTGTATTTTAACAAATTTTGCTTTAAGTAATCTCATTTTTTCTGTTACTGTTTACTGGGATAATTTGGGCGTAGTTATTGCTGCTTTTTAAAATTACATGAGTCTCCTTTTTTTTTTCTTTTTTAATAACCTGATCTGGTTTCTGGTCTGATCTTCAATGTCCTGAGATCTTAAAATTCTTAGAAATCTTAATAGAAGTCTGTGGCACTCCTTAATTACAGGGTGTGGGATACTACCTTGAAGGAAAGCGGTGATGTAATAATTCCGATAACGTTAATACGTTTTTCTTTTCTTGGGGTCATTCTTTTTTCTTTTTATGGGAGAAGAAAGCATGATTGTGGCTCTTGAGTAACAGATTAATTAAACTTTTTCTTTTTCCTTCACGTGGCCTGAAACAAAGATTAGGGTGGAGCTCTCACTTGTTTCAAATATATTCAGTAATTCAAGTAGATTATTTCTTAGTTATTTTTACAACAAACCTCCAGTTGCTAAATGTTACTTATATTTTAGTCACTTCTAATTAGTTGCTTTTAAGTGAAAGACTCTTCAAAATTGGGTTGAAATTTACTTTTGATTATAAGAATTTGCAAACCTAGCTAACACTGGAGGACATGGGATTGATTTTTTTTTTTAATGGCCCTGTTTTCATTTAATGATTATTCTGATGGTGACACTGGTTTATCGGGGTTTTAGTATATTCAGAATGAGCTTTTGGTTTCCTCTTTTGTCCTTGTCTGTCCCTGTTAGTGTAGAATTTGAGCAGCAGCGTGGCAGCTGTACTGTTTTAACTTTTTATTACAAAACTTGCATGTGTAGGCTAGAATGTCTGACAAATACTGGCTAGTTTCCTTGCAGTGGGAAGAATGCTTAACTAGGCCTGATAAAACGGCAGCATCCTCTTTACTGTAATAATCCTTTGAATTTTGACATGGATACAAATTTGTTAACTTCTCAGGACGTTTCTGCTTAGCATAAATCTCTTGTCTGTGATGGTTATTTAGTCAGATTGGAAACATCAAAACAAAAGGGAAAAGCTCATTTATTTGCACTCTAAAATCACGTCTATGCTGAATGCTAATATAAAATTTTAAAACTGAAAATAATTATTCTTTTGAAGATACTGGTTAGAAGTGAGATCGTTCATTAAAGGAAGCGTATAACTAGACCTTCTTTAAAATATTTTAAACTGCTAAAGAATTGTACAGTTGCTGTACAGCAGAAATGTAGAAGGGCTGGAGCAGTGTTCCCATACTCCCTTGTAATTTGGTCAATAATCTGCTTCTTTTTATTGAATAAATAATAGGAACCATTTAATGGCTTGTCACTGGGATTAGGATCTGTTCTATAAACTTGAACTTGGGCTAAACCTTTTTAAACTTCACATGCTCTAAGTAATTTTCGTGTCTTTTTTAAATTTAACATTTAATTTAACTCCCTGGAAAAACAGACTTGTTTTAAGTTCTTGAGCAAGATATATAGATGTCTTGCTGTAGTGACCTGGTTGTAGAGTTTAGATGTCTTTGCTGAAGGAAGTTTTTTGTTTGGGTGTTTTTGTTTTTTGTGTGTGTGTGTGTGTGAAACTGAGTGTTAATGTTGGTGGCTCAGAGGAGGATGAAGTTGTCCTCTTCTGGCAGTAGGGAGATGGAGTAAGGTACTCTGGAAAACTGCCTTACGAATTGTAGAAAGTTAAGGAGCAGTCTTGTGCCTTTCCATTGATTGTGGAAATAGTTTGGTGGTTTTTGGTTTTGTTTTTTTTTTTTTTTTAATAGTAGCAGTTCATACAATTAGGCTGTATATAGCAGGTGTAATTAGGGTTTGGGTTTTTTTAATGTGGATGCTATTCTTTAACAATAGTCTGCCTAATGGTGTGGTGCCCTGAAGGCATTTTTTTTCTAAATTGGATGTTCCAGGAAAGTTTTCCTTGATATAGATAAGGCTGTGAAAAGATGGGAAGAAATGGTTTTGAGAAGGGGGAAAAAAAGGGGCTTGCCTTGATCCTGTGTTAATGAGTACACTTTAGGAACTTGTGTAGATTTGCAGAAGATAAGCAGTCCTATAGCCAGGTGATGGAAATTTAAATATTGGTTAAAAGTACTCTATAAAAATGAAGTTTTTATATAGTACTTTTGCTTTCAGTTGAAAGTTAATGTGTGAGAATACTGCTCTTGTTATTTTTCATGTTCTGAAGATACTTCATTTACTTCAAAAAAACCCCAAACCCCCTAAAACGCCACCACAGAGAGCAAGATAAACAGTCAATTATGTTAATCTGACTTTCTCTGCTAAACAAATGTGACCAATCAGTTTGAGTAGATAAGATATTTGTTTGCTTGTGTTTTGCCTTTTCATGGCCTTATCTAGTTAGCTGCATTGTTCCCTCGGCCCTTCTCCCTCCTTTCACAGCACGGGGAGAGTTATTAATATGCTGTTTTCTGTTATTTCGCAGCTTTAAAATACAGGGCCTCTGTAGCAGTGGCCTTTTGCTGTTGAAATCATGGGAACACAGTCCCCGAAGAAAGGTGCAGATAGAGTGTATCTTCACAGGGAGGACAGCGATAGAGGCGGGGGTGAGACCTTCGTGTCTTCCATCACCCGGGCCGGGCCTCGAACATTGCCGGTGGCTCCCTGTCAGAGAAAGGGACTCTAAAGAGAGCTTTTCTCACAAGAGAGCTTTTCTCCCGGACCTAGCACTCCTCCTACTTGTATGCTTTAAACAAACAAGAAAACCTCCCAAATTTAAACTCTTGCGTGCTATAGGGAGGAAAAACTTCAACAGATTGATTGCTAGTTAATGGCATTAGATGTTCTTTTTTAATTGAAACGTTTTTATATGTTTCTGTATAATAAATATAAATAATAATGGCATGTCTGCCATATAAAATGTGGGGCGAAAATGATGTTGCAGAAGAGATATGCCTTCTTTTTACAGTTTCATAAATAAATCTTGTAGGATTTTCAGGTAGTTTTCGTAGGCATGTGTCAAATTTGACTTTGTAGAACTTCAGAGAATTAACTGTCTGCATTATAGTTTTTCAGATGTACAGTTTCTGGGTTTTTGGTGGTAACTGTGCCTACTCTGGAAATGTAAGGTATTAGTTTATTTCTGGTAATTAAAGGTGCATGGAGAAATGGACTTGAAAAAGTAAGAACTGGGTGGTCTTGTAATGCCTCTTCTCTGAGAAAACATCCCCTGTTCACAGTGACCTTCACTGAAAATATGTAGGTGTTTCACAGAACACTGTAACTGTGTGAGCCATTATATCCATTAACTACCTTCATATAGATCAAACTGCCTTAAAGAGTATCTTGAAAGAGTTGTGATAGCATTTTTTTGTGTGCAGTGGAAAAAGGTTCACTATTAATTAGCTTTTTACCTTTCAGCTCCAATGGCGATTCCTCCGTCGTACGTAGACCTTGGCAAATCTGCCAGAGATATCTTCAATAAAGGATATGGTAAGAATAGTACCTTTTTTAACATACAGTGTTTGAGGTGCAACAATGAATTGCCTTTTTAAAATTGTATGTAAAATTGAATGCTTAAATGCCCGTATTTCTGAGAAGGGAGAGGGTGTGCTGTTTTTATATCATTGCAGTCAATTAACATTGTTGGGGGCTTTTTGTGGGCTGTTTTGATGTGAAGTCTGTTAAACTTACATGCTTGCATACTTGTACACCTCTGACATTTACGTGGCTAGAGCAGTAAAGCAGCAAGTGTAGTTTAACTTAGGAGTACACTTTGTTTACTGGTCTGTCTGTGCCACAACGTTTGTTGATGTAGAAAGGGTTATATACCAGTGTAATGTTATAGCCTTTTTTGGAATCGAAAGAGAAAAGGCTATTGGGATAAAGAATCCTTCTACATTTTGAAATTATTTAATACCAGACAGTTGCATAGTTAAATTATTCTTTGTTACAGTGCCGTTTCCTTCTGGTCTTTGGGAATGCATGTGGGGGCTTTTTCACCAAGACTGTTGCTCAGCTCTAGGGATAACAATATGAATTGACACTCCCATAAAACCTACTTATGTTACAGTTCCAATGGTTGTGTATTACCCGGTGACTTCACTGTTGTAGAGTTTTACTTTGAGATATTTTGTCTTGGTGCTGAGAGGAAATGTAAGCAATGCCATTCCAGAAACGGAAAATTATGTATTTCCTCTGTCACTAAATTTACTCTTGGAAGCCATCATTTGGTAGTTAAATGTACAGTGTACAACTGAGAGGCTACTCCCCACTTTCTGTGTGGTGATGATTGAACAGAACTCCCGGCTTGCTTTGGAGTAGCTTCCTTTACCTGCTGCAGCATCTAAAATTTGCATGTTGCTGAAGTCAGTCTATAGTTTGTTTATATGTATATATGTGGCACACTGTTGAGACTGCTTGGAAGACCAGCTTCTTGAAAAATGTGCAGGGCCTTAGTTAAGGCCTAATCGTGTAACTTTGACTTTTATTTGTTAAGGTTTTGGGTTGGTGAAACTGGATGTGAAAACAAAATCTGCAAGCGGAGTGGTGAGTTTAAATAACTTTTATTCATTATGTTTTCTTTCTGGATATGTTCTGATATTTAGTTAGAAGGGATTCTCTGCAGATGCTGTTAAGTATTTTATAGATTTTATGAATTATAAACTTCTGGTGTAAAATAATTTCAGAAGCCCCTAAAGATCTGAATGTAGCAGGGGTATTGCACTGTTTAGTAATCTTGGTAAGATAAAGGGGTTTGTTAGTTGTCCCTGGTCTTAAGTCTGAAGGTGAACAAATAGCTGACAGATTTTTATGGTATTTTAATATACTGGTTATAGTGCCTTGTGATGTTGTTTGTATTTGGTGGAAATATCTGCCATCTTGATGCTTGTATGAAGTAGCTGGCATTGAATTAGCATGTTGAATCTTTGGCACTGCTGGGTATTAAAGTACTGCAGTAGTGTTCCATGCAAGATGTCTTTGTCATGCAAGCAGTGCCCCCTGTAACTTTTATAATTTCTAGAGCAGACTTTGCAAGATATAAAAGTAGATTTTTTTTATTTTCCCCTATAACTGGAGCTTTAGCAGTGTAACTTGCTGTTAGAAAAAAGATTCCTGGATTATATGCTCTGCTTTTTCCAGAGGTCTGTATTCCAACTGAAGCACAATTTGCAGGAGCCCTGTTATAGATGTAGGTGGTGGTGTTCTAGCTTGTGCTTTTCAAGAATGCTGGTTACACTGGTAAAACTCTCTGAAAAACCTAAGCCCTAATGTGAATCCCATATCAGTTATAAGCCATTCTTCCCAGGAGGACAAACTGCTGGCATGAATGTACTGCAGA